CTCTTTCTCTGTCTCTCCTGCTGCGTATCTTTCGCGTCAACGACTAAACGATACCTACGTACCGCGTACCGCGTCGTCCAAGTTGTTCCAATCGAAAACGGACGACGAAGATTGTAAAAGTTGAAACGAAACGCCATCGTCATCGGTGAGAACAAGGGAGAGAGACCAAGGAGAGAGGGAGAAATTGATAATGTTGTAAGTTGTATGTTTTCATAAGAGTGAAAGAGAATACGAGACAAGGTTCGAAAGCTCGTGTTTGCCTAAATGACGACATGTTTGCGCGCATACGGGTGCAGTGGTCTTCTTGACAGTGCGGAATCAACAAGTGTCGTGCACGGATCGTCATTCTCGCGCGTCGTGCGCGTGCGATTCTAACCTCGTTGAGATCGGCACTACGGTACGCGATTCGATTCATCTCTAAGTTATTGTCCTCGGTGTTCGCGTCTGGTTAGTGAAAATCTGTTGGTGACAGCCCGCTGCTCCGCGTGGCCAACCGTAATCGATGTGATACTTCGTGCTTTCCTGTAACGTGCCCTTGGATATTGTTACGTCGCCGATCCGGTGGCTGCGTCTCCGGAACGTCTCAAGATGGAAGTCGTTTACATAGGTACGTCAGTCCACAATTAGATGTGACTTTAACGCGCGCGAAATGCATATGTATTGATTATCATTACTTTACACTGCAATCATCTCTTCTGTCACGTGCGTTGTCATATGGACTTTTTCTCCAGACTGTTTTGTATATTTCGTGTCTTGACATCTTGATATGTAGATAGAATTCGTTTTCTTCAGCAATAAGCACTTTATTTGAATGTAGCAAGAACAGTTTCATTTTAGTATTGTCCACTTTGATTTATTTTTTTTAAGGTAGTGTATTGACCATTTTTTATTGTATTGGATCATGATAATTTATTTTTTATTAGTAGACTACATTCTAATAATTGGCTTTATTATCAGGCATCTATGCATAAGTACTTCATTCTCTTTGTGTTTTTATCATTTGGAGCGTAAATTCATGTCCTGTATGTTACATGTATGATGTTCATTTTTTTATTGTTCACCTGCATATTTTTCTCTTCTCACCGTCTGTAGGCAATAAGGTTATCGCTGTTCTGAGGTATATTTTATCTAATCTAGGAAAGATTTTTTTTCATCAACGTACGCGTATGTGTATTTTATTAGTAGAAACGTGTATGTGTAATTCGTTAAGGAAGAAGTTCAATATACGTGGACATCGAAAATGATAACCAGATTCCGCAAGTAATTTCATTTAGATTAGAATACGCGTTTTATACAATAAATTACGGTAAGTACATTACATACTGACGAAATTAAAGAAATAGTTAATAGTATTATTTTATATTCATTAAAAAATGAAGTATAGAAGAGTTTAATGGAGGAATTCAATTACTTATATGTAAAATAGGACAGTTGAAAAGTTTGAACCAGAATTCTGATCTTTGTATTAAATTGTTAAGAGTGTGCAGAAGTAGAATCGATCTGTTTGGTTTTTGAGTCACACACACTTTTAACTTATTTTTCACCTGCTCTGCGTTTAATGAATTAATACCTCAAGAAGTGTCGGTTATTTGGAATTAAATTTATTCATACTTTGACATAGAGTTCTTCATTACTGAGTATGAGAACAATGGTGAAGTTTCGTGGAAAAACACGAAATCCTGTTTGTTAAATAATTCGCGTAACATCGATTGCATTAGTTAGCTCAACGCGCTTTGCCAAGACAAATTGTAATTTTACTTACGTGAATGTTATATGTTTCATTTGAATTATGTATTACGTATTTTGTTTAATTTTGTTCGTGTTCGAAACTGAATAGATGAGCAAGAATTATTAAATGGTCAAATGGATGACTCGCCCACCGTACATTCGTAAAATAATGGATCTTTTGTTTCTCTGATTTCAATAAATCTATTTCTGAAATAGGTTGAGTAGTCGTTCAATGAAAGAAGTGCATTACTTGAAGG